CCCAAGTGATTTATTTGGTGCAGGGTAGATGATATTTAATATACAAGCTACTGTCTGCTTTGCTTAAAGATATTTCTTTTCCTTTTTTTTTTTTTTTTTTTAACAGACCCATTTCTTGGTAATCAAAGAACATTTGGGCTTCTCTCAACCCTTGGCATTTGATTTCTAAGCATTCCTTCATATGCCTTCAACAAATGCCAGCAAATATCCCATGGGCTGTACTTGAATTTCTCTGAGGCAGCTACTGTTTGCCCTGCAAATGAGAGTTTGGAGGTGAACAAAGTAACTGGATATGAACCTGCACAAGAATGTCATCCAGGTACCAGTGGGGTATTCTTGCATGTACCTGTGTCAAATCTGCACTTGACTCAATAGCAAAATGTATTCTTGATGTATGCAATTGCACATTGTAATTATATTAACAGAGCACACTAATCATTTGTATAAATTATATATATTAGATCTTTGGTATGGTTTCTACATTCTCCCGTGGGAACTTCTTCCTTCCTGATGTAGAATTGTACATTTAAACTTGGTCAGTGACCTTTGCAGTACCATCAACAAGCACAGCAAGAACAGAGTGAGAGAGGTCCATGGCTGCCTCTACCATGTGCCCAGATTAATGTATATAGTTGATTGGAATGAAGATTTATGAATATTTGTGTTCTTTGAAGGCCTTTAATTTCTCTCTGCATATTAGCTTTTAATGTGTGATTTTAAAAGAGAATACTTTGACACTTGTAAAAAATCAAAATACTACTCTTTTTAAGACATTCACAAATATTCACTTACATTACTGGCTAAAGGTATTTTATTTGGATGTATATTTATACCAATAAACTGATTTTACAAGTGGAATTTTGACCTCCAGTTACTTTTTTAACTTAGGTTTGGCTTGTGCTGATGAACTGTGTTTCCCACTCCCCGCCACACACACAAATCCAGAATAATTACAGTTCCCAGATAATCAAACCAAGTTACATTCAAAATAAATGAAACTTGATGATTCTATTGCCTACTCTCATCTTTGAGAAATCATGAAATTTATCGAAAGGTTTATTTATGAATTTGATCAGTTCCCATTGCTTCAAATCAAGGGTCATATATGGGATGTGAATGTGAACTATGAAGTATGATTGGAAGAGTTGCCAGCAGTGCGGTCGTCTGTTGGAAAGAATCACGGTAGGTGGGGCTGTGTGATATGACTGTTCAGGGTTACATTTAGGGTTGATTTTATGTATAGGGTTAGGTTTAGGGTTAGAATTAGGATTGAGGTTTTGTAGATGGTTAGGGTTAAGGTTGAGTTGGATTTTAGGTTATTATTTAGGGTTTGGGTTAGGGGTTGAGGTTAGGTATAGGGATAGGATTAGAGTTACCATTAGGGTTATGGAATGGGTTAGGTATAGGGACAGGTTTCAGGTTAAGCTCAGGTTTTAAGTTAGGCATAAGATTAAGTTTAGGGTAAGAGTTGGAGTTGAAGTTCGATATAGGGCAAGTGTTAGGGTTAGGGTTGGGGTTATGGGAAGGGTTAGGTATAGGTTTAGGGTTAGTGTCAAGTTTTAGGTTCAGATTAGGTATATGGTTAGGGTTATGTTTAATGTTGGAGTTGTAGAGTTAGGCTTGAGGTTATATATAGGATTAGGTTTTTGTTTAGTGGTGTAGATTAGTGTTTGGTTTAAAGTTAGAATTAGATAATGGAGAGGGTTAAGGTAGAGGTTAGGTATCATGATAGCTTAAAAGTTAGGTTTAATGTTAGGGTTAGGGTTGGGGTGAGGGTAAGGTTTGGTTTTGAAATTAGAACTAATAGGGTTAGGGTTGTTAGGTGCAGGGTCAGATTAGTTTGGTTATAAAGGTTAGGTTAGGGTTTCTAGCAGGTTTAGGGTTAGGGTTATGGAGAGGGTTAAGTATACAGTCAGGGTTAGGGTTTAGGTTAATGTTAAGAGTAGGGTATCGTATAGGATTAGTGTTGAGGTTAGGCATAGAGTTAACATTTGTGTTAAGGTTAGGGTTGATGTTAGGTACAGGGTTAAGATTACTGTTAGGGGTGTGGTTAAGTTTGAGAAAAGGTTTAGGGTTGAGGTTAGATAGAAAGTTAAGTTAGACTACGTTTGATGTTTAGGGTTCTGAAGAAGGATGAGTTTATAGGGCTATGGTTTAAAAGTAATTTTTTATCTTACATTTTGGGTTAGGGTTACAATTAGTGTTAGGGAGGGTAAGATATAGCATTAGGGTTAGGTTTAAGGTTTGGCATGTGAGTTGGGTGGGGCAGGGTCTCAGGGAATCACCAGGGCCAGATGAACAGTGTTAACCAAGTTAACGGAGAGCTCAGCTATGGTACTTGCCTGTCCCTGCTACCTGGGCAGAGGGAGGACTCAATAAAGAAACAGTGGCATCTGCCAGCACTTTCCTGACCCCTGCCCCTCTATCCCTTACTCCTTCCTATATGTCTCTTGTACTTTTTAAGCTGCTGCCCCAGTGCTGGAACTCGGAGCAAGTGAGTTTATGAGTGAGTCTCTGCATAGGCCGTTGAAGAGGAATGCCTGGGAATCCAGCATCCCTCTGTCTCACTCAGCCACAATCTTCACTGGCTTTCACAGCCAAATGTTATAGAGACTTCTCTTCCCTGCACTGGCGCCCTGGGCTGGGGAGCCCAGTGTGGGGCTGGGAGCCTTGTACCTCGTCAGGGGTTGGGGTCAACTCTGCAGCCATGACAGCCCACTCACCTCTTAACCACGATACCATAGGCGTGGGGCCTGCTTACTTCACGTCTCTGCCCCTCCTGCCAGTCTCATGTGGCCAACAGTAAGAAACATTAAAGCAACTGCTCAGAAGGTCAAAGTTTCTTTTAGGATCCTTTTATAGGTATTCTTTCAAAGTCATTTTGCCTTTTAGAAGCTTCTATATGTTAATCAAAGAATTCAGTCCATTGTACCCAAGAAGTTTGGAATTCCCTTTTTAAGGGAGGCCCCTTGAGGTGAACATAAAACCAAATTTTTCCTGAATGGCCATTAGAGTTTCAAATTATTTTGCATAGTTGGTCCATTTTGTTTTTTAAAAAGGAGGTACCAAAGTGTTTGCATATAATTAGCTAGATTTCCCAAAGAAGAAACTTTGGGGAACTTTTAGAAGGTCTTCTTGTTAAAGGTAAATTCTCCCAAAAATTGTCAAGACCAGACAAAAAGACAAAAGAGGTGATAAGGCTATCTTTGAATCATTTAATTCCTTAGAGGATTTTACTAATTGAAAAATGCCTCCCTTTCAGCTTGTTTAACATTTCTAAGATCCGCTAATTGTGCATGTAAATATACTAATTTTAGAATTTCAAAAGATCTCCAGGGTGGCCACTGTAATTCCCATTTGTCCTTTTTATCAGAAGTCCATAGAGACAAATACTTAGCAAAGGATGCTAAATACAGCTGCCATTCCAAATTGGAGTTGTCTATCCATAATAAAAAGAGGGTGCCCTATGACAAAAATTAGTATCAGAAGATCCCATGATAAAAAGCTCTAAACCTCAACTGAAGGAGGGAGATTTGGAACTGAGAGTGCTCACCACCAGAATCCTGGAGCCATTGGTGGAACAGCAGAGCACAAAGAGCTCAAGCAGCTACCTCACTTGGATCCAATAGCAGCACCAGAATTGAAGGAAAGCATTCTTTGTATTCCACTCTTGACACCATATATGCCTAACAAACTCGAAAAGAGTCTGAAGGCTTTGGTTAGAAATCAGTGATAAAGATTTATTCAAGGGTCTTAGGGATTTCAAACTGAAAACATAACTTGGCAATTCCCAGTGTTCTGAAGAAAAAAGAAAAGCTAAGAGTTCTTATAGTAAGTACGTTCTTGAGAAGAATCAGTCCTGCATTCTTAGCCTAAGGATTGGTCCAAGATGCTTATCATTCAGATGTCAAGATGTCTAATAGTGGCTGGTCATGTTTGGTGGTCTGGATAATGGATATTAGATGGTCTGTATACATGAACCATTTTTTCCTTAATCCTTCAGAGGGTAATGAGAGGCCCACTAAGAGAACATGTACTACACATGCACATTTCACCACTCTTCTGTATCAGGAACAAGGCAGGTGTCTGGAGAATCCAAGTACCAGGATCTGCCTCTGGCTCTTGAAGTAATAAAACATATGCCTAAGAAAAACTCTCACCTACACATGCTCATTTCCTTTCCAGAAGGCTGAACTAGGAAAATCTGGACTGCCTTTCCAGAGCAAGACAAGATGGGCTGGACATGAATTTCTGAATTGGGAGACACCTGGATATCTTAATGGCTATGGAGCCCAGACAGCAACTCCAAATGGGAATTTGAACTGTAGCCACTTTAAAGCTAACACCTCACAACAATAATTTGGAGGGATGGGAGTTCCCTCCATGCTGGTGGCCGTCAGGTATGGAGAGCTCTCACTGCCCAAGGCTGGTGACAAGGTGACTTACTGCATGTCAGTAGATGCTTCAGTTCCTGGGCACCAGGAACAAGGCAGGTGTCTGGGAAGATTGTGTCCCAGCAGCTACATCTGGTTCTTGGTGATAACAAAACATATGCCTAATTAAAAGCCCTCATCTACACATATGCACATCACCTCCATGAAGGCTGAGCTGGAAAAATCTGGACCGCCTTGTCAGAGTGAGGCCAAGTGGGCTGGCCATGAATTTGTGCAATCAGAGACACTTGGAAGTCTTGATTGCTAAAGATACTTGGAATCCCATCATGCTGCCTTCTCAATGGTTTTCATGAATAGTAGGGGCTCCCTTACACTGGAGGATTTGCAGTGGTTTGGGAGCTGCCCACTGAGCCTCTTAGTTTTGGAGGGTCCCAGGTGCTCAGAGCCTGCTGACAGGGAATCTACTGCACATGCTTACCACCACAGGTTCAGAGCACCAGAGACCAAGAACAAGGAAGGTGTTGGGAGAGGCCTGGTCATAGAAGCGGCCTCTAGCTATT